CCTGCTGCAAACAAGAATTAAGTCAAAGACTACACAAGACTCAAATCTGTTGTCGGTCCACTGCTTTACCTTGGGGTATAATTAATCAAGGGATGGAAGAAGCAAACCCAATTTGATGAGGTAGTCTCTAAAGTCTCTAAACAGATCTCTTGTTGGACTAATATTTATTTGTCACAGGGTGGAAGATTGACTTTAGTTAAAAGTATTCTCTCCTCTTTCCACATCATGCAAATGCTGAAAATGAAAAAGAGTACCCAGAGGACTTTGGAGGTGTTGTTGAACAAGTTCCTGTAGGAAGGGAAACATAAAAAGACTCATTGGTTTAGATGGAATAAACTTTGTTTCCCTCTTTCTGCTGCTGGACTTGGTATGAAATCCTTCCAATAGCTACATGAAATTTTCTATTGCAAACTTTGGATCAAGTTCAGAGAGCAGAAATCTTTGTGGGCTAATTATATGATGATGAAGTATTGCAAACACTCCCATCCAACAACCGTTTTGAAGAAACCTGGGGATTCTAGAATTTGGTCTTAACTTCTCCAAATCAGAAATGTTGCCCCAAATAAAAAATGTTGCTGAAGATTTATTTACTTGGGATGTTAGGGAAGGAAAAATTGATTTTTGGTTAGAAACTTGGTTACTTTATGGTAAGCTAGATCCACCTATCAGTCTTGTTTCCTCCTTTAGCCTTCCAATTCAGCTTTGTTGGAATGGTCAGCACTGGAATAATGATATGTTGGCCTCTCTTCTGAATCCAGAAAAGATGCATCAAATTATCAAGACCCTTGTTACTCCACATCACCCTGACAGAATTGTGACAAAAAATTCTCCTCATATTTCACTTACCAAGTATGCTTATTATAACTTACATACATGGCCTTCAAAGGCTTGGGGTAAAGCCATGTGGGTGAAATATCTTAGTCCCTCTTTGTCCTTATTTGGTTGGAGATGTTTCCACAATATTATTTCTACTGATGATATCCTCAAACTTAAAGGTTTTAAATGCCCATCAAAATTTAGTCTATGCTTCCAACAAGAGGAATCCTTTACTCATTTATTTTTCTCACTTTCCTATTGCTAAAGATGTCTAGTTGCAAGTTGCTTGAAAACTCAATCTTCCCTCTCATATGCTGGATTTTGATAATTTTATTGACTGTTGGAGAACCTCAAAAGATAACCATGCTGAAATAGTTCCTTTCATTATTTCTTGGTTCGTCTTGATGACAAGGAATAAAAGCAAATATGAGGGTGGTGAAACTAGTGCTGTCCAAATTAGTATCAACTGTTAGGCCTATATCTTCTAAATAATCAATTTCATGGGCTACAAAGTCAAGGATTATGAGTGGTCTCACTTTAAAAATTCCAAGAGTTCTCATTCTGCCAAATTAAACTTTATTCTAATCCATTGGAGGAAAAGTTTATACCCTTGGATAAAGATCAACACTAATGGTAGTTTTAAGAGGAACAGTGCTGACATTGGGGGATTTTCAGAAATCATGTTGGGGAATGCCTCCTGTATTTTCAGTCACCTATTGAAGCCATTAATGCTTTACATGCTGAAGCTTTAGCCATTGTCTGGGAAATTAAAAATGCTGTTATCATGGGCTGGAACATGCTCATAATGAAACTTGACTATTCTTGGCTGGTCTAATTGCTAAATGATAACCATTCCCCATCTTAGTTTCTGATCTCTCTTTTCAAGCAAATTTTCTACATGAAAATCACTCATATAATACAGTTTATTTGGAATCATATCCTAAGGGAAGGCAACAGGTGTGCTAATTGGCTAGCTCGTCTAGGAGCAGTGTCTATGGTACCAAAGATGGACGTGATTCCTCCTCTAGAGCTTGTTTTCTTGATAAGAAGAGACCTTTCTTCTCTCCCTTTTATTCTATGTGTGGAACCTGCTGCTGAAACACCTGAACATTGAAGGGAAGCAACTTTTTTGGGTATAGGCTAACCACCTACTGGCAGTTTTTGGTTTTGCAGGCATTTTGTTGCTATACCTCTAAATTTTGTTTGGCTTATCTGGATGGAGAGAAACAAGGCCAAGTATGACGATGAAATACCTAACACTTAGAAGATAGTGGTAGCTTTACAAAAATAGGGAGCTGGAGTGCAGGACATGTACAAAGAGACATGCTAGAGGTATAGAGTAAGAAGCTATTGTGACTCCTGTTGTGCCCATATGGTTTAAATTTTCTATTCTCCCTTTTGTTGTGCCCACAGAGACACGCTGGGTTTCTGTTGTGATTCCTGCGTGGCATCTACAGAGAGACATTTTAGTTTTGCTCTGACTCCTTTATTTTTTGAGTTTTTGTTCTCTTCTTGGACTCTTCTTCTGGTTTTGGTTTTGGGGCAGACTGTATAGAGTTTAGCCCCATTAGTGTGGATGTTAATGCCCAATGGACCCAAGCCACTTATGCTGGGTTGTTAGAAAAGGGCAGGATTTGCCTAAAACTTTTGAACATTTAAGTTTTCCTGAAGCTTTACATCATGTCGCGGCTTGCAAGGGGACTTGTCCTTAAGTGTCTCCTATTGGTGTCATGGAAGGTGAATCTGCTGTTCTGTTCACTCTATGGGAGATCCATTCACTAAATGAGTTCATTAAATTTACTTTAATTGGTAAACTTCAATTGGGCCACCCAAAGATGGATCTTGTTAGAAAGTCTTTTGATGATATTCAGTTCGGTGGTGCTTGGCAGCTTAAGCTGATGGATGGAAGAAACCTTATAATTAAATTATCTAATGATGAGGATTATTCCAGAATCTTTGCCAAGCAAACTCTTTTGATTGCTGGAACCCCCATGAAATTGTTGAAGGGGACACCTGGTTTTGACCCAAGTAAAGAGCCTCCTGTTGCGCCCATATGGTTTAAATTGCCTAATCTCCCTATACAGTATTATAACCAAAATGTTCTATTCAGCATTGATAGGACACTTGGCTGTCCATTGAAAGTGGATGCTCTAACTTATAATTTGGCTTGGCCAGCTGGGGCTAGAGTGCTAGTGGAAAGAGACATCACATTACCATAAGTGAAAAGAGTGTGGATTGGCACTCAGGAAGAAGGATTTTGGCAAAGTGTTGTGATGGAGAAAAAAACCTTTATTCTGCCCTCATTGTAGAATGTTTGGGCATAACTTGGAGAAGTGTTACAGGCTTCATGCACCTTCCAAGAAGGCTGCTGCCCCCCAATCACTCAAGGAGGATCTGAGCCCTCTTTACGTAAAGAGCAAAGAAGAACAAGAGGAGATACAAGTAACACTGTTACTAGATGCAATGAGAGGGAGGTCCAACCAAGGTTACACAATACCTCGGAGGAAGGATTTGATCATCGGAAAAATTCTATACATATTGTTACTGATAACCATATGGTAGGGGAAAAGCACGTGAGGACTGAGTGAACTGAGAATAGTCAGTTAGATATCAATCCTCACAAAGTTGATATTCCCACAATAAATTTGGTAACTGATATTTTAATTGAAGAATGGCTAGTCCAAAAAAGCAGTAAAAAGAAGAAAGGGAAGATGGATCAAAAGCAGGTGTAGGAAGTTCATTCACTGGATGGACCTTCCAACAATCAGCATACAGATTTATACACTAGAACCTAAGGAGAAGGGAGAACCTTTTCATAAAGATTAATTTCTTGTGTTGGAACATTACGGGTGCTTCTCACCCCAAATCCCTTAAAAGACTTATGAATCTTATTAGGTCTCATAAAATTTGGTGTTTTGCTATTTTGGAACCAATGGTTACTAATCACTCACAAAAAATTCTGAGGAAATTTCCTAAATTTTTTTATTTTGCTAATTCTAATAACAAAATTTGGCTTTTTGCTAGAGCTGAATTACAGTGGACAGTTCTGTTGGACCATCCCCAGTATATTCACATCCAGTTTTCTATTGGTGCTCAGGTGGGTTTTGCTACTTTTATCTATGCTAGCTACATTTTAAGGCATTAGAATACTCTCTAGATGGATCTGTTGAGTATCAGTTAATCTATCAACGCCTTTTGGATTGTGGGGGGGGAGGGACTTTAATTGTGTTACCTCTCCTGCGGAGAGAAGAGGTGATAGGCCTCCTTTATAGTCAATAGTGAATAGATTCAACGACTTCCTCATGGATGCTCATTTATTTGATTTTGGGTTTCGAGGTCCTAAATTCACTTGGAGAAGGGGCTCCTTGTGGGAAAGACTTGATAGAATGTTGGGGAATTCAAATTGGCTTCAAACTTTTCCCTATATTATAATTACCCACCTTGCCATGGCTGGGTTTCACCATAGACCCTTACTTTGCTCCATTCAGAATACTGCTAAAATGGAAGGATCTCCCTTCAAGTTTCAGAACATGTGGACTCTCCACCCCGAATTCCTTATTGAAATTAAAAAAGCTTGGCCTTATAGTGAGGATAATGGTTCTTGCGTAAATCTGTGGCATCTAAAAAAGAAAGTGGCTAACTCATTTAAAGAGGTGGAATTGGACTAAATTTGGGAATATTTATGAGAATTTAACAGCTGCTCAAGGGAAGGTTCTCAGTACTGAAGAGGGGTTTCAGAAATGCTTAAAGTCTGAATGTGATTTATATAGAGCAAATGAGGAACTCCTTACTCAGATTGCTTACATTGAAGCCTTTTTAAAACAAAAGTCAACTATTACCAAATTCATTGAAGAGGAGAGAAATTCAAGCTTCTATCATGCTTGCATAAAGTTTAAGAGGAAATGTAATATGATTCTTGCAATCAAAGATTTTGAGGGGAAAAGTTTAACTGGGGCCGAGGAAATTGCTCAAAATGCTGTCCATTTCAAAACTTATTTAATTACCAACCTTTAATCAGTTCTAATATTGATGCCACTTTTTTTTGCTGATTACCAAGAGTATGTACACAGGTTAGAGCTTCCCCAGGTTCCCTCAGAGCCATTGATGGGGACAAGACAGCTGGACTTGATGTTTTTATGGCCAATTTTTACAAGGACTCCTAGACAATTATTAGGGGTGATTGCATTTTAGCTGTTCAGAACTTCTTCAGAGGGATTGATACACCAGGTATTTTACTTCCTCAACTATTACTTTGATTCCCAAAATTCAAATCAGAAAAGATTGGGGAGATTTCAAGCCCATTAGCTTGACCAGTGTTATCTCCAAAGTAATTAGCAAGGTTTTGGTCTCAAGACTTCAACCCCACCTTGAAAAGTTCATCAGTCCCAATCAAGTAGCTTTTGTTAAAGGTAGAACCATATCTGACAACATTTTACTAACACAAGAACTTCTATTAGATTAGGACAGAAAGTGTAGGGGAGGTAATGATATTTTCAAATTGGATATCAAGAGGACTTATGACATAATTAATTGGGATTTCATATTGAAAACTCTTTCCGCAAGGGGTTTTATTGAAGATTTCATTTTGCTGATCAAAAGATGGCTTCACTGTAATAACCATTCAGTACTTATTCATGGAAAATGCCATGGCTTCTTCTAAGTTTCTAGGGGAATGAAGCAAGGGGACCCCTTGTCCCCTACTATTTTCATTTTGGCCATGGATTACTTCTCTAGATTATTAAATCAGATGTTCTCTACCTCTCCTCATTTGGCTTATCAACATAAATCCAATGTGTGCATCAGTCACATCTCTTATGCAAATGATGTTATTATCTTTTCCAATGCCACTAAGATTGCCATAAAAACTTTGTATAAGGGCCTTAAACACTTTCAACATGCTTCAAATATGGATTTAAATAAACAAAAGTGTCAAATTTTTGTTAGCTCTAACATTACTCCACAGATAAAAAACTAGATTAGCCACTATACGGGTTTTAGCTTGGCTTCTTTACCAATCAAATGTCTTGGGGTTCAACGGATAAAGGGCAGAACTAAGTAAATCAAATTTAATGATGTTATTGATCATATTAAAGCCCAACATCAATGTTGGAGAAATTCATTCATTTCCAATGTGGGGAGGATCACACTTCTCAAAAGCATTCTCACTGTCATACCCTCATATTCTCTTCAAATGTTTACCATGAAGAAAAGTGCTCAAAGAATGTTGGGGAGAATCTTTAATAAGTTCTTATGGACTGGTTAGAAGAAGCAATTTCACTGGCTTCATTGGCAGAAAATCTGTAAACCTCACTTTGCTAGAGTTTTGGGATTTAAGGATTTTCAACACCTTAGCTTCATAAATCTATGCAAGTTATGGATTAAATTCAGAGCCCAGGATAGTCTATGGGCTCAATTCCTGATGGGGAAGTACTGTAGGTCAGTACACTCCAATCTGATTAGCAAAAAGCTGGGGGACTCTAGGATTTAGGGCAAGCTTCTCGAAATCAAACATCAAGCTCAGGAGACCTTCATATGGGAGTTGGGAGAGGGGAAAATAAACTTTTTGTTAGACAGGTGGACTTGGAATTGAGAGAAAGTGTTGTGCTCTAACTCTAACCCCAATTATAAAGTTCTGGTTAAAGATTATTGGTTTGAGGATCAAAGGAACTCTAGACTGTTGCATACCATTCTGAACAATGACCAATTATAGTTGGTAAAAAAGACCCCCTTCTATCCTGGTCAAAGAGATAGGATTATTACCAAAAAAGCTCCCTCTCAAAAACTTTCTGCATATATTTATCAAGAATTCTTTCACTGGAAACCTGTTCAGTGGGGAACTGACATCTGGGGTAAGTGGTTGACTACTTCAATGTCTTTTTTCTGTTGGAGGCTTTGGCTATCCTTGCTCCCAACTGATGATATCCTGAAAATGAAAGGCTTGAGAGGACCTTCTTGTTGTTATCTTTGCCATGAGGAGGAGGAGACCCTTGATCACCTAATGTTCAAATGCAGTTTTTCTCAATAAGTTTGGACTGGGCTTTCGGCACAACTAAAAATTGAAACCTTCAACCTGTGTTGGGATAAATTTTCAACCTACTGGAGGGATTGGCAGGAAGTTAATCTGCTGGTTATCCCTTGCGTGGTTGCTTGGTTTATCTGGATGTGTAGAAATTAAGCTAAAATTGAGGATACTTCACCTTTGGCTAAATCTGTAATAACAAATTGCACATCTTACATGCAAAGAATCATTCAACGTCAGAATTTTCCTAATCTCTTCATGAATTGGATACCTCAAAATAAAAATCAGTCAAACTTCAAGCCTTCTTTGATTATGTGGACTCCTCCTCCTGCTCGATGGGTGAAGGTTAACACTAATGGTAGCTTTTTTAGGGAATCCTCTGGGTTTGGGGGAGTGTTTAGAAACTCCTAAGGTCAGTGTATTCTTTTATTTTCTTCACCAACCTGGGCACTGGTTGCTTTGGAAGCTGAGATGATTGTTATCTTTTAGGCCATTATGCTTGCTATTCAGTGTAAGATCTGGCCATTAATTGTGAAATCTGACTCTATCACCTGCATAAGGATATTGCAGAAGGCATATAGGCAGATGGATAACCATATCGAAGAATGTTTTGGGCAGTTGGATAGTGAAATTTCACCATATTAATAGAGAAGGCAATGGCCTTGCCCACTTTTTGGCTACCACTGGAAGAAACTGTGAACAAATCATAGTTGATATTACACCTACTCCATCCCTATATTTTCTTCTCCATGGGGACGATTTAAATCTACCTCAATTTCAAGTTTTATAATGGTTTATATATATATATGT